CTTGATGTGTAAGCTACTTGGGACACGCGCATATGGCATGATGCGCAGGAGAACCATACAAAAACGAGGGGCGACAGCTACAGGCTCGAAGAGGACATGGGGAGTCGGGAACGCAGAGCAAGAGAAAAACGTGCGGGAAGCCGAACCATCAGCACGGCAGCAGCAGAGGGAAGGTGACTGCAGGAGGAGAACAAGGACGAAAACGGCGTCTACTTTGAATCCGCCGTGAGTACCCACTGTGCTGGGCCCCCCAGCAGCCCTCGAAAGTGGCGACAGTTTCACAAATCGCAGCCCCCCAGGGATGGCGAGGTCACATTTGAATCCGCCGTGGGTGCCCACTGTGCTGGGCCCCCCAGCAGGCCTCGAAAGTGGCGACAGTTTCACATATCGCAGCCCCCCAGGGATGGCGAGGTACCATTTGAATCCGCCGTGGGTGCCCACTGTGCTGGGCCCCCCAACAGGCCTCGAAAGTGGCGACAGTTTCACGTATCGCAGCCCCCCAGGGATGGCGAGGTACCATTTGAATCCGCCGTGGGTACCCACTGCGTTGGGCCCCCCAGGGATGGCGAGGTCCCGTTTGAATCCGCCGTGGGTACCCACTGTGCTGGCCCCCCCAGCAGCCCTCGAAAGTGGCGACCGTTTCACAGATAGCAGCCCCCCAGGGATGGCGAGGTACCATTTGAATCCGCCGTGGGTACCCACTGTGCTGGGCCCCCCAGCAGGCCTCGAAAGTGGCGACAGTTTCACAGATAGCAGCCCCCCAGGGATGGCGAGGTACCATTTGAATCCGCCGTGGGTACCCACTGTGCTGGGCCCCCCAGCAGGCCTCGAAAGTGGCGACAGTTTCACATATCGCAGCCCCCCAGGGATGGCGAGGTACCATTTGAATCCGCCGTGGGTACCCAGTGTGCTGGGCCCCCCAGCAGGCCTCGAAAGTGGCGACAGTTTCACAGATCGCAGCCCCCCAGCAGCTCTCGAAACGCAGCGACGAGCGAGGTCAAAGGCAGGGGGGAAGAGAGGGACGGGGGGGGGTGGGAAGGTTCGCGCGAGCAGTGCTCTGTTCAAAACGAGAACCCAACGCAGGAGGGTTGGGAATGAATAGTAATTTTGGGCGGAGCCCTCCGGCGATATCGTTAGCACATAAAACGTAACATACAATAATTACTTAATTCCCCCCCCCGCGGGCCCGAAGCTGGCGGCAACGTGAGGCGACAGCCTGAAGAACCAATGCGCACGAACGCTTACCAATGGGTTCCCGCCTTGCTAGAACACTGGGGAACTGACGCGCATCGGAAATCAAAGGTACATCAAAAATGACAAACAATGAAATCACCGCAAGCAGCTATACTTGAAAGAACCCCTCCCAAAGGAACCCCAGAGGAATCTCATAAGGAAGCCCACGCAGAATCTCAAAGGAACCCTATTGGAAATTCAAAGCAATCTCAAAGGAACCCCACAGAAAACGCAAAGGGATCTCAGCGGCAGCTCAAACGAACCACGAAGGAATCTAAGGAATCTGGAAAACGCGGGCTCGCGTGGACATAAACAAACCCTATTGCGACCGCATTTTTTTTTTTTTTTTTTCCTATTTCTTTCTTTTTTCCGGGGGTCGTATGGGAGAGTCCACGGAGGTATATCGCAGACGGATTCCGCGAGCCCCCCGCGATATGTTAGCACATTTATTGAACATAAAATAATCCACAGGCACTGGAAGTCGATGTGATGTTCCCTTCAGGGATTCTCGAAGGAATGTCAGAGGAACTTGAAAGGACCCCCAAAGGAATCCCAGAATACAATCACAAAGAATCCCACGCATGATATCAAAGGAACCAATGGAAGTTCAAAGCAATCTCAAAGGAGCCCAACAGAAATCGCAAACGCATCTCAGCGGCAGCACAAACGAACCACGAGGGAATCTACGTAAGGAATTTGGAAAACGCGGGCTCGCGTGGACATAAGCAATCCCTATTGCGACCGCGCTAAGAAATTTATTATTTCAGGGGATCCTATGGGAGAGTCCACGGAGAGGCATCGCAGACGGATTCCGCGAACCCCCCGGCGATATGTTAGCACATTTATTGAAAATAAAATAGCCCACCGGCCCCAGATGTCGATGTGATGCTCCCTTAAGCAATGGGGCATCAAAGGGATACGACCGGAACCTCAAGGGACCCCCTGAATAACATCAAAGGAACACCAGAGGAATCTCAAAGGAACCCCGAAAGAATCACAATGGAAACGGCAAGGAATCTCAAAAGAAGCAAATCGGAGTATCAAAGGAATCTATGAGGAATCTCACAGAAACGCACAGAATCACAGGAAGCGACTCTGGGCAGGTGTGCCTTGTCGCTGGGCTCTGGACTACAAGGGGGCCGGGCATTCAGAGGCTTGTGGAGGCCTTTCAGGATGCCTCCTGGGAACCTCCGGGGACCTCCCCTCCGCGGACCTCTGGTGACCTGCGGGGGATATCGCTTCCGCCCCGGCCCCGGTGCCGGAAGCG